GATTTCAGTTTTATTTCAAATCAATAAAAAAAACCTCTTTAAATGATGAATATATCTTTTTAATAGTTTAATAAATAATTATTTGGAGAAATATTTAGAAAAAAATATATTTAAGAATAAAAAAGAGATGGCTTTTGTTCGAATCGATTTAGATTTCGAGTGCGGCCGAACCAGAAGCGTCGGTCCTCGACATACTTGATCGGTACGGCCCCATCAGAAAAAAAAACAATAAAAGGAAAAATTATTTGCGGATTGAATGGCGTTATAATTATTTGCGGGACCGCAGATCAACGAGAGGTCCCATCTTTTATTCTGATAGAAACGTTCAGTACCGATGAACAGAAGCGATTGCCGCTTGCCGACGCACACCGTTCTACTGAAGACCGGACAGAACCGGCGTCACTGCTTGAATAGACCAAAGGCATTGTTCGCGGTGGTGAAGCCGCCGTCGATGACGAAGTTGTGGCCGCTTACATACCCGGACTCGTCGCTCCCCAGGTAGACTGCGGCGTGTGCCACGTCCTCCGCCCTCAGCACCGGTCCCTTGAGGTTGCCAATCCCGCCGATCCACTCCTCCAAGCGCTCGGCGTCCATGTGGACGAAGTCGCAGGCCAGCGCCGTGGCGTACGCGAAGGGCGAGATGCAGTTCACCCGGATCCCGTGCTGCCCCAGCTCCGCCGCCGCGCTCCTCGTCAGCCCCACCACCGCATGCTTCGACGCGATGTACGCGTGCGGCGCCACCCCTCCGATCACCGACCCCACGCTCCCGTTGTTGATGATGCTCCCCCCGGGCCGCCGTTGCCGCCCGGCCGCGGCCGCCGCCACCATGACACGCGCCGCGTGCTTTATCCCGTTGAACACCCCGGTCACGTTCACGCCCAGCACCCGGTCGAAGTCAGCGATGTCGACGTCCGTGATCCTTGGACGGTTGCGGTCGATGATGGCGGCGTTGTTGAACATGATGTCGAGGCCGCCGTACTTGGCGACGGCCAGGTCGACGGCGCTCCCGACATCCTCCTCCTTGGCCACGTCGCAGTGCACGTAGGTGATCACGTCGTCCGTGCCGATGCTGGCCGCGACGGACAGGCCCAGCTCATCCCGGATGTCAGCGATCACCACCTTCGCTCCATGGTGAACGAAGAGCCTGGCGGTTGCCTCGCCGGCCCCGGCAGCTCCGCCAGTAACGACCGCAACCTTTCCTTCCAGCCTGCGCACACACACACACATATACTCTCCATATATATATATATATATATATATATATATATACATATATGCCTTATCAACTTGATCTTCTATCTGAGAAGCTTACCTCCTCCCAAGTGTAGCAGCAACCGCGCTGCAATTAGCCATTGGAGATCTTGTTGATGCTGTAGTCATGAAACCCAGAAGCCATGAACCGCTATATAAGGACGAAGTCGAAGCTGCAGCAGGTATGCTTATTGTACTGGATCTTAATTATGCGCAAGAACCATGTGAAATAAGGGTGAGATGAGTCCATCATGATTCAGATGATAGGTATCAATCGGGCTGTACGTCAATCGTTGTTCCTTGTTTATCCTGCAGCAGACACTGTAGACCTAATAAACCCGACGTGTCGACACGCCGTCCAAAATTTAGAATTGTAACCGTACCAGCTAGATTTGACGTGACGTGACGTCAGGGGCGAAATTGTGGGCTGGGCCGCATGGTTGAGAGAGTCGGATGCAACGGATGAAATCTAGACCGGGCTTCGGTCGGGCTCGACGGTTAAGTGGCTTTCGTACCAGCTAGATTTGACGTGACGTCAGCGGGAAAAATTGTGGGCTGGGCCGCATGGGTGAGAGAATCGGATGCAACGGACGAAATCTAGACGGGGATTGAGTCGGGCTCGGGGGGTTAAGGGCGATAGATTACCGGTCCGATCGAATGGGGGCGAGCAGGTCGACAAATGGATTCGAGTCGGGCTGGCCTTTACGGAAGAAAGAGGAACGACACCGTCGGATGTATGTCATGATTCGTGCGACCCACCTGATGCACTTATATTAATACAACATGAAAGAGAGAGAGAGAGAGAGAGAGAGAGAGTCACAGAAGCCAAAATGTACAGAAATCATCAGGAAGACGCAGACCTGCAAGATTAAGTGGAAAAAAGCAGGAGAAGAGTACCGAGTCACAGGCAGTGAGGGAGTGGAGGGAAATGTGGAGTTGGCTTCAAGATGGGGATTCTGCAGCAGGAAAGGTGGTGTTAAGCGAGAAGGTTAAGGGGAAATGAGATGGGGGGATGGAGAGAGAGAGAGAAAAGGTGGGGAAGGCACAAGATGTCTGCTTGCGGGAACAGATCTTAACTCAGCAGTAGGATTATAAGTCATAGCTGAGCACTTGGGGTAGAGGAAAAGTTGGGTCAAGTACTGGAGCATCTGCAAAAAAATGGTAGAGGTGTATCTGACTCCACAGAACTTGCACCAGCTTAAGACAAAACAAATGGCTTGCAACACCCAGAAAACCCTGACTCTTATGGGGCAGATGCCACCAATAAGATGACCGCAGTACAGGAGTTAACCAGACCCAACCATCTCTCACATGGAAAGTGATTACCTGAGCCCTCAGTGGATGTTTGACAAGATGCCACAGTCACACCCTCTCTCTCTCTCTCTCTCTCTCTCTCTCTCTCACTTCTCAAGCTCCACACACAACCTGCTTGATCATTGCTCATCACCTCATCTACTTTGAGCTCCCTCCCTTCATTTTCTTTTCCTCAGAATTAAGAACAGTGAATGATTATTTCTTCGTAAGAGTCTATAAATTCCTAAGAATATGTGCTACAGCTTCAGTGTGCACACCCTCTAAGCTCTTGTTCTTTTGCATAGCCTTGTAGTCATTAGGAACATGTCCATGAACCCAATGTCACAGCAACAGCAGCAGCAGCAGCAGCAGCATCACCATGGAACATGGCCTCGGGAGCCAGCCATGCACCTCTACCACCACCCCTGCCAACTGGAGCAGAGAGAAGGCCACCATGAGAGGGAGCAGATGTTTGAGAAGTGTCTCACTCCCAGTGACGTGGGGAAGCTCAACAGGCTGGTGATACCCAAACAGCACGCCGAGAAGTACTTCCCCCTCGACGGCAACTCGGGCGAGAAAGACCTGGCGCTGAGCTTCGAGGACGAGACCGGCAAGCCGTGGCGGTTTCGCTACTCCTACTGGAGCAGCAGCCAGAGCTACGTGCTGACCAAAGGCTGGAGCCGCTTCGTCAAGGAGAAGAAGCTCGACGCAGGCGACGTCGTCCTCTTCCAGCGTCCACGAGGCGGCGGCGACCGCCTCTACATCGGGTGCAGGCGCCAAGGTGCAAACGAGACCCCGTCACCGGCTCGCACCGCCACCAGGCTCAACGAGAAAGCGCCGTGGAGCCGAGTGCACCGCACGGCCTCAGGGCCTCATCCAGTGAGCCCGAGCGGCGCCTGCTCACGTCAGGCTCCGGTGCAACAGGACGGCCTTCGTCATGCAGGTAGACGATCCTTGCGACCTTGTGACGTCAGATAACTCGCTAGCTAGTCTTCTCAGAGGTGTGTTCATCTGCAGGAGAGACGAGGCAAGCCGCAGCGGAGAACACAGCAGTAGCACCTGGGGGCAAAGCAAAGCGACTGAGATTATTCGGCGTGAACTTGGAGTGCGGCCCGGCCTCCGACCGCCGGCCTTTGCATTCCGCCTCATGGTTATGAGGCTCGCGGCAGTGCTTGCCAACCGGCCAATGCCTCCTCCATCCATCCACGATGTGTTAGTAGTGGAGGCTAAGCTGTTAGAACTGTTTTGGGAAGATAGAATTAGCTGCATGCTACCTGTGCCTCTAAATCTCCTGTTTTGCATGCTAACAGTAGGTAACTGCAGTTCCCCTTGTGTGCAACGGCGGAAAGCGATGTAAGATAAAAAAAGAAAGGGAGGATCTGCGGCCATGCTTTCAAATCCCACCTACCAAGCTCCCCTCTCCTGGAGGAGCTTTTGATTTGACCTGTGTTTGATTTGATTTGGGAAGGACCCAAACTCCGGAGTTAGGGAGGGAAGACGAGCTTCCTGGTTTTCCGGGCAATCTCCCCTTGCAGTCTTTATTATCTACCAGAGATTCCACTGCTACTCCCCGTGGGGGTGTGGGTGGGGGTGGCGGTGGGAAAGTCTCCTGGAAACAGTAGTCGACGAGGCACTGTAATTTGTTTTGAATGTTCGAACAGGTGATAGTGAGTGATCAATCTTTCATCGAGCTCTTAAATCTTTCTCTCCGGTCTACTGTAGATGTAATGACACAGGGAAAGTGAGTAGGCACATACATGAATGGTGCCAACGAAACGACGGGCGGTGGGAAAGTCTCCTCCTGGAAACAGTAGTCGACGAGGCACTGTAATTTGTTTTGAATGTTCGAACAGGTGATAGTGAGTGATCAATCTTTCATCGAGCTCTTAAGCCATCTCCCGGTCTACTGTAGATGTAATGACACAGGGTAGGCACATGAATGATGCCAACGAAACGACAGGTGGGTGGGACTTGAGATGAAAGATAGGCACTTTCCGGCCTTCCTTTTATTACCGGGGGGGAGGGGGTGCCGGAGGGGGGCACCTGCGAGTGAGAAACGATACGTACATATCACCATTTTCTTATTATGGCCAGGGTGGGTTCCATCAATCCAAGAAAGAAAAAAAAAAAAAATTGTAAAGATGCTATGTCTGATGCCTCTCTATCTGTGTTGGTAATAATTTAAGCTTGTCGCTGTCTTTTTCAGCAAACATCTCAAGAAGAAATTTTTGGTGAGAAGAGGTACAAAAGCTGTCTCATCGGAAACTCCAAAACTATATAAATATTAATAACACCACTGTTCAACCGGTTCATATATATGCATACACCTACTTACGAGTGTGGAATTAGCAATATATTATTTTATCGGAAGAACCACTGTTATAATAGTCTGGACTTGGATCCTTCTTCAACGATAGCATTTCTCCTGCACCCAGACATCCGGATGGGTGGCAGGATGCTTATGCGAATCATCAGTCGACAGAATTATTATGCACTCACTAAGCTTTTTTTTTAACACGCATCAGGATGAGTAGCTTTGGTTACGTAAGATATAAAACAGACCCATAACAAACCAATTGATTCGGTCGTTGAGGATCAATATTTACCGGTCTGACTGCCAATCAGACCAACTCGCCATGCGACCGTCCGCTCCGGTACTGCTTCTTTCCTTTATTTATTTTTTTTTCCTTCCACTTCTTCCTCTTCTTCTTCGGACGTATTCCCCCCTCCCCTATGTCAAAATAGGTCGAATCCATACCATTCTGACCATGGACCAGTATGAACGTGACAAACCTAGCAAAGGACCATATAAAAAAAATTTAGGACATGTTACCCGCTTCTGCAAGCATAGAAAAAAAACCATTAACGTTTTACTCACAAAGGAAAGCAAATTATTAGTTTTCTTTTATGCCAACTTGCTGCAGAGTACGAGTCACCAGAAGGAGAATCAACGATCCATTCTATGAGTGGCATGTTGATATGAAATAGACAGAATGCATCCATTACAAGTGGTAGATTACCTCCAATACTCACTCTGCTACTGCTCTCCCTTTGTGTCGGTTTCTGCCACCAGGAGATGCACAGCTTAGCTGCCTTCCATCTCCAACAGGTAGCAGATCGTAGAATCCACATCATCACCAAAAAATGCTATAATGCTTCCATGACCTGCATGTAACCAAAACTCATAAACAAAACCGTCTGCGCACCGCTGATGAGCACCATCTCAGTATCACGACCATGATGACGGCATCACTGTTAAGAAATCATTGGCTTTCCTCCATGTATGCAGTCAACTTCAGAGATCAACGAAATAAGATACAGAAGGGACTCACTTGCCACAGAAGATTGTGGTTCTGCCCTGCATGCGTAAGACTCTGTAAACAAAGGATACTGCTTCGGTTTCTCCTTAGCTAAATATTCTACCCATGAAGTGTCTGTCATCATGCAATTATTTAGGGTATGGTTTTCGATAGCAGTTCAATACTGGTTTCAAAAAAAATATCAGGGAGGTACAGTAACAAGATACCAAGAGCGACCTGTGCCATGCATGTCACCGGAAAAAACAATATAATAAATATAAATGATTCAGATATACTGAGTTCTATGCTTCTGTACCAGTGATTAATATCAATAGGTAAACATCAGTCCTCCGACCAACAATTTAAATCATGATTTAGGGGCCTCAAGTCATACTGAAAGAAGAACCACTTTACTAAATTTCCAAACAGATACATGACACTATAATAAATGTTAAAACAAGTATCCAGCTCTCTATTGTCCTAAGACATGAAAACTGTAGTTTTGGTAGGTTAACAGATTGCAAATACTCAACATACAACTCTCAAAAGGTGAAAATGTTTGCCTCTTCTATATATCACTACAGCATGGCAAAAGTCCTTCACAGAATTCCAACTTGGAATTAGTTGATAACCCAGTACCTTCCTTCCAAGGATCATCAAACTGTTTAATGGATCTAAGAACCTGGATGAGCACCTAAAAGTTGGAAAAGCAGGCAATCGACATTGGAGGATGAAAAGAAGAAATTCATATCAAGAAAAGACATCAATAGAAGAGAAGCAAAGATAAAAGTCAGGAATATCCACGGAAAGGAATCCTAGAAAACAGACAACAATAGGAACCACCTAAAAAAGTGATGTATCTAATGAGTTGTGAAATGACATCAAAGAAATATATTGATGCACAGGAAACAGTGTTTCATCTATTATTTAGAGGAACCATCAGCATCAGCAATCATGTCATTCAAAGGGCATCAAATTATCCCAGAAAGTTATATGGAAAAAAGCAGTAACAAAATAATGAAAAGATCTCCTTTAGATGAAATGCCAAACCCATCCACTGAAGGCTCACTTTTCGAGCTACATAGAAACTTAGACTTGTGAACTGGAGAACAGCTTCATTCACTAAAATAAAGGGGGAAATGTGTAAAATACAGTAAATAAGCATGTAAAGAAAGCGATACATGAAATAGAGAAAGCACAATTAATCAATAATAATGAAACAGAATATCAAATGGTGGCTTCTATTACTTACGACGGATAAACGTTTCATTATCCCTAAATTTTTAAAAAAGTAAAGTACTAACTCTCTGAGAAGACCTAGAAGATTATTGAACAACACCCTGCAACATCTGCTACAATCCCAGAGCAGCTAGAAGCTTATTGAAAAATGCACCTGCAACTATCGCTACAATTCCAAATCAGCTTATAAGAAAGACTCAAGTAAGCTTATATAAAATGCAACAGACTTATTGAGGACCTTCTAGAATAGCAACCCTATAAAATTACAAACAGTGGAAATTCACAAGCATACAGCAGGTATCTCCAGTCATTCCAAACTTGATCTTTTGAATTTTTCAATCTTAAAAAATAAATAAATAAATAAATATTTCAACAATCATTTTGAGTAGGCATCTCCTGAAAATAAAATTCATTAAGCAACATAAAATCTCACAATTTTATCGACTAAAAAAAATTCCTACAATTTTTTACATCATGAAACCATAAATTATTTTCACAAATCAAAGCGACTTCATAATCTAAACATTATATATATATATATATATATATATATATATATATATATATATATATCAACAATGGAATACAATATCATTTAAATGAATAAAACCATTAAATAAAGAACACAGAGAAGAACCTTCAATCTCCTAGAGACGATAACCTCCGCCTACTCCTCCCTTGCAATCGAATCAGGATGACAGTCCTTGTTTCCATTCAAAGGTTCAGAGCCTGAAGCATCCTTTATCTCGATTTATGACCATGGAAGAAGTGACAGCATTTCCCCAGCCGATCGATGCCTTATTCTCCAGCACGCCTTCCTCACCGCAGACCAATTTTCGCATTCCCCTAACAATTCTCATGAGGCCAAATTCGCCGAGAAATAATTCTTAAATGATTATGTAATCCTTCCCAAAACCCTAACCCGCCCAATCGAAGGCTCCACACATCCGCCATAAATGATTACCCAAGAATCAATCTATTCGCAAGAAAGACGCGTTCTGAGTCACCAAGAAACCGGAGAAAGAAATACATACGAAGAGATCGAAACAAAGAGTCGACCTACAACCCTAAGAACACCCAAAAAATCCGCCAAAAGAAACGAATCCGAAGCATACGAAGCTTGCCTTGACCAATTCCACAACGATCCCCGGCCACTTCGTTCAAAGTAAGTGAAAGAATTGGTAGGGAGGGGAGTCGAGGCTGTGACGACAGCGATCGAGTCTTGAATTAAAAGCTCATTGGGAGGGATGCAGAAGGAATCAGTTGCGGTCGTTTTGCATCGTCCGAAATTACCTTTTAGCCCTCGCCCAGAACAACTGGTATGAGTCTTTCGTCACTGTTAAGGCAGAGGTCAAATCGTAATTACATGTTTCATTTTTTGCCGAGAGTATGACGTGACACGTGGAGGCCTCATGCGGAAGTTATGGTGTCGATGACATCGTGTCGTTTGGTGATTTGGTGGAGACGCTGTCTGCTGCTCTATCGTGGACAGTGATTCGAATTTGCTACTGGGTCGAACACTGCATTCGTAATGCCGACGAAGTGTTATTCTTCGTATGGCAGAGAAGGGCTACTGCTAATCTTGAGAAGACGATGAAGCTCATATTAGACAGAAGAAGATGAATCCAGATGGCTCTACTAAAACTGGTGTTCTTACGAGGCCTCTCTTCATATGAAACATGTTTTCCAACACCTTAATCATCAGATTGAAATCATATTGGATATGATTTCTCAGATACTTTATTTGTGCCCGAATCACGTATTTGTCAGGACATGGTTTTGTCTGAGCTTGAGGTATTAATTCCTTCCAGGAGAAACTAATGGTTCCTATCTGTATCTTTACACAAAGTGGGAAGCTGTTCCCAAGCAGAGTTTTTGAGTGGTCCAATTCATCATGTTCATGTTAAAGCAATGATCACGAGAGACCATATCCAATCCTCCCAAAGCTGTGTTGTATCCCATTAGCTGATTCAGCTGAGACTGTGGAAAGATGCTACTCCTCCCTAAGTTCCACTCACAAGGTTTGAGCTTTTGAAGATGCACTGACAAGGCAAGAGCATCTCCACATGGCTTTCTCAGCAACCTAGTAAAAGTATACTTTGGCTTTTGCATTGTGCTGAGGGAAGGATGTGGTCTTTGCCTTCCTCAGAATAAAGGATTTGCCAGTGACAAGCTTCTCAATGTGTTGTGCATCTGACAAGTGTTATGCAAATTTGATGTGTATCTGAAGAATCTTGAGTTGACTGAGAGATAAAACACTACGGTAATGCACTTCAATAAACTCTGAAGGATAACTGGAATTAGAACCTTCGAGGATAACACTGCAGTGGACATGAAGCTACGAAAACTTATTGTAGAAGTGGACACTTCATTGATTGCCTCACTATGCTCCATTCATCAGAGGTTTCTTCATCTCCCATGCATTCAACTCGGAGACTTTGACATCAGTTGATCCATTGTTGAAGACGAACAGGTGGGCATCTTCTCCGATAGCCAAGCTGGGATAAACTCTGGAAGTAATGCATGTCTTGCCTTTGGCCCCAAAGCTCTCCACCACAGAGCTATCAATCTGCATCACATGGTCAAAACTTGCTCATAAATGAAGAAGACGATGGAATACTGACAGGAAGTGGATGCAATAAGGTTTGGGATTTATCAACATACCAAGGTCCTTAAGGAGATCTTGCCAGTTTTAGCTATATCGACATCGACAAAGCCTGCAAAGGTTGGCTTGTACAGTCCTGCCCTCAGTGAGGACCTGTTCGAGCAACACAAGGATGGTTAGCCAATCAAAACTAGAAGATCATCATACAGCTGCTTGAATTCTGTGGATGAAATGGTAAAGGACTGTGAAGATAAATAGCTGACCTGGTAGGATCATGACACATGAGGACTACATGTTTGTGGTAAGCTTTGAAGACCCTGAAGAACACAGCAGTCTTCTCTTCCATGTTGGCTGAAGCCAAAACCAGCACTCCGAATGGCCCAACCCCACCCTTCACGTCTGCTGTCTTCCGGCCGCAGAGTGCCTCGGCGTCAGTCGCCCAAGAAGGATCGAAGTCCTCAGCTTTCTCCAAGCCTGAGACATCAAAGCTCACCTCTACATCCGCCTGCACGGCGAAAGAGACACGGTCAACTTAAGAATCACTGCCACAGTTCTGCAAGTGGATATCAAACGCAGACCTGTGAAGAGTCTATCCCGGTCACTTCGAAGAAGCCACCACTTGGGATCCTCTTGTGCTCGACAACAACGTGTTTGCCTCTGAGAGATTCAATCTCTTCGATCGGCCACTGCACAAGCTGTCGACCGCTGCTGTCGAGCAAAATGGTTCTTGGAATCATCTGACAACAGATCACCACATCAAGTTCATCGAAATCAGTGGAGGGCGAAGCGCATGGCAGAATTCTACCACGTCAAGACCGACCTGAATGCCCGCCCAACCTTTAGCTTTATCGACATCCGAGGTGTCCGACTCGTTGGCCCATCCCCACAGGATCCTTCGCTGCTTCTTCCCGTCGAAGAAGGTCTTGGAAGCGTAGAAGTTGCCGTAATCATACCTCAAGCCGGTGTTATCGTCCGCCGACGTTGCGTCGGGCACATACTTGTCCTTGTCGTGGTAGTACTTCCCCACCGTGTAGTACTCGTACCTCGTGATGTCCAAGCTGATCTTGAGCACATACTTCACGCCATGGCCATACACGGACGTATCTAGGCCTCGCGTCCCCTTCAACGCCACCGGGTAGAAGTCCGGGCACTCCCACATGCCGGTGTCCCTGGCGCTGTGGAGCGAGTGCTTTGCCTTGACCCAGTGCACGAAATCTCTGCTCCGGTACAGAATCGCCTTGCCCCTCTTGTTCCACTTGCTGCCAACCACCAGCTTCCAGTGGCCACTAGGTCCACGCCACGCCGTCGTCGGGTCACGGAAGGCGCTGCCGTTGACCCCATCGTCCGGGGCAATGACAGGGTTGAAGTCGGGCTTCACCCACTCACGGAGGTAAGGATCAGAGAGATTCTTCGGGTACGCAATGTTCTGCACTTGTCTCTCACGAGGGTCGAGGCCAGTGTACAGTATCACGGGCCTGTTGCCGGGAAGGATGGTTGCAGAGCCAGACCAGCAACCCTTGATGTCGAAGGGCTTCGACGGGTAGATCGCCGGCTCGAGCGCTACCCAGTTGATGAGATCGGTGGAGACGGAGTGTGCCCACACGATGTTGCCCCACACCGAGCCACTGGGGTTGTACTGGTAGAAGAGGTGGTAGAGGCCATTGTAGTACATCGGCCCTAGTGAACATTAATGTTACGTACGGATCATATCAAGAAGATGTGTGTGTGTGTGTGTGTCGTGAGAAAGAGAGAGAGAGAGAGAGAGAGAGGAGGGAGGGGGTACGGGGAACGTACGTAGTTAGTAGTCGGTACGGTAC